TATATATATATATATATATATATATATATATATGTATCACTCTCTCCCTCTCTATTTCTCTCCACTTATTCTCTTTCTTCCTCTGCTAGTCTCTATCATTCTTAATCTCTCATCAGTCATCCTCTATTTTGCAATCTCCCTCCCACACTCTCACCCTTTCTCATGCACTTTCTCCCTAGCTCTCTCTCTCTCTCTCTCTCTCTCTCTCTCTCTCTCTCTCTCTGCACTTTGTTTATCTTACACACTCTTTCTATCTCTCTATAACTATCCGACACACTCTTCTCTCTTTTACTCTCCACTGTCTCCATATCTTTATCTATCACTCCCTTTCTATCTATCTAAAAAACATGTCTCCCTTTTGATCTCTCTTCATTTCCATCTTTCTCTTTTTAAACAATCTCTTTATCACTATCCCTCTCCCTCTTTAGTTACCAATACCATCTCTAATTGTCTCTCCTTCCCTCTCACTATCTTTATGCTTCTTGCTATCTCCCTCACTTGCTCTCGCCCTCGCTCGCTCACTCTCTCTCTCTTTCTCACTCACTATCTCTCTTTTTCTTTTGCTATCTCTCGCTAGCTCTCTCTCTCGGTCACTTTATCTGACAGACACACACATACACACCTTTCTATCCATCACTTTCACTATCCCTCTTACTACTCTCTCTTTCTCTCACTCATGCTCTCTCTATCTCCTACCTCTCTTGTCCTTTCTATTTCTCTCTAATATACATCTTTCCTTTCACTATCTTTGCCCTCCATCTTCCTTATCTCTCACTTAATAACTCTCCCTCTCTTGCCTCTCTCTCCATCATTCTTTATTTGACTTTATCACCCTCCTCTCAATTCTCTCTTATTCACTCCATTTCTCATTATATAACTCCCTCGTTCTCCATACCACCCTTTCAATGTTTTCGTATCTTTCCCCTCTCTCTTACTTCACTTTCACTTATTTTTACTGTATTTGTATCTCTCACACCTTTTTTGTTCCTTTTTCTTTCTCTCTCCATCAGCCTTTCTCTATATAAATACATGACTCTTTTTCACTCTCTCCCCCTATCCCTCTATTATCACTCACTCTTTCCCTTTTGTCTTACTTGTACCTCTCTCTTTCTCTCTCCCTTTAACTCTTTAAATTTCACTCAACGTCCCCCTCCGTCCCTCTCTCTCTCACCCTCTCTCTCTCTCTCTCTTCTCTCTCTCTCTCTCATTCTCACTCTCTTTATTGTAGTATCTCTCATTTCTTTCTCTCTCTCTCTATCAATCACTATATCTCACTCTTTCTCTTTCCATCTCTATCTTCCTCACTCTCTTTCTCTCTCCCATTCTGTCTAGTGCTCTCTCTACCTTAATTTGAGGCCCTCACTCCTTCCCACTCTCTCTCTATTACTCTTCCTTATTTCTATTTCACTATCATCTTGATTGCTCTCTCACTCTCCCTCACACTCACTTCTCTCTTGCTCTCTCTTTATCTTCCTCCCTATCTCTCACTACCACTCTTTTTCCCTCTATATCTATATAAAAATGCATCTATCTACCTCTTGCTCTCTCTTCTTATACCTTTTCTCCACTTCCTCTCTCTCTCTCTCTCTCCCTCTCTCACTCCCTACCTCTCTCTCTCCCTCCCTTTCTCTATACCTCGCTCTCACTCTCTCTTGCTCCCTATGTCTTTCTTTATCTATATCACTTGCTCTCTCTCTCATTCTTCCTCTTGCTCTCTCTCTCTCTCACACTTGCTCTCTCTTTATCCCACTATTCCACTCTCTCTCCTTCCCTCTCCCTCTCATTTCTCCCTTCACTTACTGCCACTCTTGGTCTATTTCTCAACTTTCAATCTTTATCTATTCTCTCTCTCTCTATTGCTCACTCTATTACCCTCTCTCACTTCTCTCTCTTTCTCACCTTTCTACTCTCTCTTTCGCTCTATCTCTATATTCCTAACACTCTCACTTTCTCTTTGATGCATAATTTTTTTTTCTTAAATTATATCTACCTCTTTCTCTCTCTCCATCTCTCTATCTCTCACTAGCTCTCTTTATATATATCTCTCTTTCGCTCTTCCTCTCTCTCTTTCTCTCTCTCCCATTCTTCACTCTCCCTTGCTCATACTCTCTCTCTTTGTTACTCTTTCTCTCCCTAAATCTCCCTTTCTGCCTCCCTCTCTCTATTAAAAACTAATCATCAATGCATCAGTCATATTCCTTCTCCAAAATACTATACAAAGAAGATGGATTTGCAAAAAAAAATGCATTAAGGAAAAAAAACAAAACTATTACAAACTAATCATCAATGCATCTCTCTAACTTTCTCACTTCTCTCTTGCACTCACCCAATCTCTCACCCTCATTGTCCATGTCTCTCTCACTCTCTCTTTCAGACAACTTTCTACTCCATCACACTTGCTCTATTTATCCCACTCTCTTACCTCTCTAAAAAAACATCTCTTCCTCTATCTCCTTGCCGCTCTCATTCTATCTCTCTCTCTCTCTCTCTCTCTCTCTCTCTCTCTCTCTTACACACACTCATTCTCTATTACTCTCCATCTTCCTCACTCTCTCTCTAACTCTCTCTTCACTCACCCTCTCTTTCGCAATCTTCCTCCCACACTTTAATCATTTCTATTGCACTTTATCGCTAGCTCTCTCTCTCTCTCTCCCTCATAACTTTCTTTATCTTAAACATACTCATTCCTTCCCTCTCTAGGATTCCCTCTCTCTCTACTCTCTTTACTCTCCTCTATCTCAGTATCATTATCTCACTAAAAAACATCTGTCCCTCTTGCTCTATCTTCCTTTCCATCTTTCTCTCTCTCAATAATCTCTCAATTACTCTCCCCTTCTTTCCTCTCGCACTTTAATTCCCTTTATCGCAAACAATCCCTCCCTCTCACTCACTCTCTTTACCTCTCTTTGTTTCTATATCCCTTTCTATCTACCTCACTCGCTCACTCTCTCTCTCTCTCTCGCTCAATATCTAATTCCAACTATCTCTCCTTCTCTTTCACTATATCTCACTAGCTCTCTCTGTCCCTCACTTTATCTCACACACACTCTATATCTCTCCATCACTCTATCACTATCTCTTATTACTCTCTCTATCTCTCACTCTTTCTATCTTTATCTCATCCTTATCTTTCCTTTTCTATCTCTGTAATACACATCTTTCCCTCTCACTTTCTTTACCATCCATCACCCTTCTCTCTCTCTCTCTCTCTCTCTCTCTATCTATCTATCTATCTATCTATCTATCTCTCTCTCTCTCGCTCACTCTCTCTCCGACTCTATCTCTCTCTCCAACACTCTTTTTCTATCTCAATATATCTCTCTCCTCACTCTATTTTTCCTTTCTCTATATACGTCTCTATCTCTTTTACTCTACCTCTTATAACTCTCGTCACTCCTCTCTCTATCACTTCTATCATTATCTCTATCTCTATCTCACTTTCTCTCACACCCCTTAACACCCTAATTTTCTCTCACACTCCCTCTCCTTTTTTCTCTTTATCCCACTCTCTCTAGCTCTCCCTCACCCACTCTCTCTAGCTCTCCCTTACCCACTCTCTCCCATATCTCTCACTCATGCTCCCTCTCACTCTATCTACCTCTTTCTCATTCTCTCTACCACTCTTTCTCTAAAAATACATTCTCTCACTCTATCTCTCTCCCTTACCCTATCTCTCCGTCTCACTCTCTCTTACTCTCTCTCCCTCTTGCTCTCACTCCATCTTTCTCTCTTTTATATCTCACTCACTCCCCTCTAGCTTTATCTATCCTCTATCAACCTCCTCTCCATCTCTCTCACTATCTCATATTTTATTTCTTCTTTGTTGGCCTCATTTTTGTATGAGGTCATCTGGTACAACATAAACTTATGATTATACATCTACCTATTTATTTTCTTGTGTATGCATATCAAATGTGTATTTAACTAAATTCCAAATACTTGAATGTCTATTCTTATGCTGGTGAGCATATCTTATGGTTACTACTTTTATCCTAAAAACCAAATGAACTAGTCCAACTGAAATACAAATTTTTTCATAAGTCTGGTAGGGGTTTATGCCTATTTATTATCTTTTATTTTTATGTTATATGTGTATTTATTTAAATTCAAAAATGCTTACATATGCTTATGCGAGTAAGAATATCATATGGTTACATGGTTTTGTCCTAAAAACTATGAGGACTAAACCAAATGAAATAGTGATTTAGTCTTACGTCTTGTAGGGGTTCTACCCATTTGTTTTGTTGCATTGGTATGTCATATGTGAGTTTATTTAAATTCCAAATACTTGTATGTCTATGCTCAAGCAATCGAGTATATCCTTTGGTTACTTGGTTTCATCCTAAAAATCAAGTAGACTAGTCCAACCGAAATACCAATTGGGTCTTAAGTCTGGTAGGGGTTATTCCTATTTATTGCCTTGCATTTGCATGTCATGTGTGTTTATTTAAACTCTCAATGCTTGCATGTCGATGCTTACGCCATTTAGTATATCCCAACGTTACTTGATTTCATTATAAAAGTCAAGCGGACTAGTCCAACTAAAATACCGATTTGGTCCTCATTCCAACAGTAGTACTGCACATTTTTAGTTTAGCATTTTTTATTCTTTTATAGTTTGGTCTTTTTGCATATGTAGTGTAGCCTACAATCGAGCTCGTATGATAAACGAGATAGAGTTTGAGCTCAACCCTACTTGACTCGAAAGCTTATCAAGCTACTCGATATATATATATATATATATATATATATATATATAATTTTTATAATATTTGAAAGTATTTTTTATAAAAAAACATATCCGCAGCTACAGTTTTTCAAACGAGTTCGAGCTTTCAAGTCGAGCTTGAGTTTAATATTTACTAAACGAGTCGAGCTCGAGCCCACTTATCGAGCTCGAGCTCGAGCACATTAAAGATTAAACGAATCAGACTTGATACGACAAATACTTGACTCGACTATATACACCCCTAGGCGCACTCACATGCTAGACTAAGGTTCTTTTGTAGCCCTAAATTCCAGCCCCGAGGGGAAATTATTACAAGCCGGCGGTAAGCCGGTAACTAATCTACAAATCCCTTCCAGTTTTTATAGCGGAAAGAATCTCGGAGCCAAAACCTCCGCGGCGGCAATGAACCATAGCCCTAACCTTCTCGACGAAGCCTTGGGTCTCACGGGACGTGGTTTTGGTTGTGGTGCTCTTTCGCAGGGGCGGGTCGTTCTGGTCGAAGACTGTGTCGAGACGAGCGGCGCTTTCGTCCTCCATCACCTTGTCAAGCGAGCTCTCTCCACCGACAGTGGCGGGAACGTGATCTTCATCGCCCTTTCCCACTCTTTCTCTCACTACGACCGCATCCTTCGGAAGCTGGTAAGCAAGTGTTGCGTTTACGCCCGTTTAGGGCTTATTTTTTGTGCGGCATTGTTGATTTTAGTCTCTCACCTGGGAAGGAATTCCCATAAGGAAGCGAACTGATGCAGCTAATGTGTATCTGAGGCACACCACATCTCTTTTTATGGCTCCACTAGCCCGTATCAGCTTATTTCTTTTTCTGTTTGCAAGTATACACTATCTTTATTTTATATGTTTGCTTAATTAGTTACGTACTACTGCTAGTAGCAGATGGCATTGCAAATATATAAATACAAAATGTATGTAAGAAGAGAACAGACTACTTTTAACAAAGAATCTTCCCTTATTACTTTACATTGCTTTAGTGGCTTGGTTTCCTTTCTCCGCTTTGCTATTTTCTCTATCAGCTTGGTATCAGAGTTAGAAATCTGGCGTAATGGCGGAGGGGAGCAAGCAAGCAACCACGGAGGACAAGTGTAGTTTGGAGGCATTGTGGCTCGCTCAAAGCAGCATCTCCAAACAGCTAGATGACCTAATTACCATTTTCTTTCGTTATACAACTGAAATGCATAATGAGATTTGACGGATTCGGGCAGCTACCAACCCAGTAACCTGCCAACCTGTTCCGGCAACCACACTGGTACAGCGTGCTTCCTCCTACCCTGGAAGGTGTCATCAAAGAGCCCAACTCCCTAGCATTGCATTTACGTTCCCCATCAGGAACTATTTGATTCCACCGAGGAAAAACATCATCCGTTTTATGACCGACTGAGGCACCATCAGACACATCACCAAGGGTATGAGGGTTTTCGTGTCAAGTTGGATATTCCAACCTTTGATGGGCGGCTTCACTTAGAGGATTTCTTAGATTATGAAAGGGCGGTCAATACTTTCTTTGAGTACATGCAAATTATACCAGAGAAGCAGGTCAAATACGTTGTGTGTCGGTTGATGGGAGGAGCCAATGCTTGGTGGTTGCAGTTGCAAAAAAGTTGCGAACGAGAAGGTAGGGATCCTGTGAAAAGCTAGCTTCACATAAACAACTCCTTAGAAGTCATTTCCTACCCATTGATTATGAGCATATGCTCTATTTGCAATATCAACATTGTAGGCAAGGACAAAGACCTGTTAGTGAGTATATTGAAGAATTTTATTGCCTCAGTGCCACAACAACTTAAATGAAACAAAAAATCAGTTAGTCGACTGATATTTGGGTGTTTGAAGGATAATATATAGGACAAAGTGGAGCTTAACTCAGTTTGGTCCTTTTCCCAAGCAGTGAACTTTGCATTAAAGCATGAGGTGCAGCTTCAACAACAGTCCCGTAGCTATTTGGCTTGGCGCTCGTTTGGGGAAGGTTCGATTGAGGGGGGGGGGGGGGTGGGGGGGGGGGGGGGTCAAAATATTTTGTGTTTTAATTTTGGTGAGTTTGTTTTTTCTCAACTAACAATTAGCTCATAAATGCTTAGCCACTACTTATTAAGCTCATAAATTGAGGATTATTGAGATTCATTCCCCCCTATGTGGCCCTTTGATTTCCTCCCCCTGGTTCCTTTCCCCTCCCCTGCGTCTCTTCGATTTTCTTTGCCTGGTTGTTGTTTCGATTCCCCTGGTTGCTGGCCGTTCATCCCATTTCCCTGGCTACTGTCCTGATTCTCTATGAAGCCCGATCCTCTCCCCCTTTGCTTGCCTGTTCTGGTTCCCTTTGGCTGCTGTTTCGATTCCCTGAGCAGCCTTTTTACAGTTTTTATGTGGATGTTTGGGTGCTATTTTTGGACTGAATGTTTGGCCTTCCATCTCCCATTATTTGATTAGTTTAATTGGAGGAATAAAGTTACTGTTTGGCTGCCTTTTGTCACCTATAAATATGTGATGTTTAAAGAGTTTAGAGAGAGTTATGTGACTAATTTTTGGAAGCCAAAACTTGCAGGTTCCTTCGTGGAAAAGCTTGCGAGCTTGTTCCATTCCTCTCCCTCTAGGAAAGTTTGCGAGCTTGTCCTCTCTTCGTCTCGACTTCTAACCTTTCTTCTCGCCGCAAGCGACCACCCCACCTGTATCTTTCTTCTAAACGATTGACAAGCTTCTTTAGGTGTCGTTTCTTTGTCATAAAGTTGTATGCATGATTTTTATAACATTAAAGTTGTATTTTGTTTTGTTCAAGTGTTGTCGTTTTGTCTTATGTAATTTTATTTAAGTTTTTATGTCGATATATGGTTGTAAGTTTGAGACCTACTTTGTATTTCTTTTGTTTGCAAAAAGTAGAGTTTTTTTCTAATTTTTGCTTGCATCAATTTTGTATCAGAGCCTAGATTTGTGTATTCCTAGGTTTTTTTTAAGTGTCTAGAAAAATGGAAAAAGGCAAAAATATTGAGTCAGAAATTCAGCCAAAAGGTTTTGAAGAAAATATTCTAATTGATAGGTGGATTCCGACGAAAGGAAGTTCAATAGATCCCCTACATAATGAACTATACAAACTTCAGTCGAAGATGCATATGTGTACGGAGAAATATATGAAGAAAAAGAAATTGCTACAAAAACAATTCAAGAAAGAACATGAGATTATTCTAAAAAGGTATGAAGCAAAGATTCAAAAGCTAGATGCGCTTCCTTCGTCTCCTCGGAATAAATCTAAAGCAACCTCATCGGGAGATGAACTTCCTCAACTAGAGGAGAATTGATGTAGTTAGGGGGGGGGGTCAAAATATTTTGGGTTTTAATTTTTGGTGAGCTTCTAAATTCAGCTTATTAATGCTAAAGCTACTACTTTTTCAGCTCATAATTTGCAATTAATTGGGTTCATTCCCCCTCTCTAAATGGCTCTTTGGTGCCCCTTTTTTGTTGCCTATTCCTTTCCCCTTCCCTATGTCTCTTCATTTTTCCCTCATGGTTCCGGCTCCCCTGGCTGCTGGTTTCGATTTCTTGTGCTGTCCCTTCGGTTCCTCCCCTGGTTGCCTATCCTGTGACTGCTTTTTCTCGGTTTTCTGTGTGGCCTTTTCGGGTGCTGTTCTGGAATGATTTCTAGCCTTTCATTTCCCTTACTTGATTGGTTTATTTGGAGGTGTTTTATGGTCTTTTTGGCTGCCCCTTTTCTCCTATATATAATATATGTTTTATAGATTAAATAGAGAGATTATGATGTTATTTTTGGAGTAAAAAAACCAGAGGGTTTTTTCTTCCTTCTTTGGGAAAGCTTGCGAACTTGTTCCGTTCTTCCTCTCCTTCTAGGAAAGCTTGCGAGCATATCCTCTCTTCGTCTTGGGCTTCTTACCTCTTTCTTCTCTCCGCAAGTTCGACGCCATCTGTATCTTTCGTCTCAAGCAAAGAAGAGCTCCTTTAGGTGTTGTTTATGTTTGTGTTTGTAAGCGTCAAAAGTTGTAAGTGTCTTTCTATTATAAAAGTGAAGTTGTTTTTTGGTTTAATTGTTGTATTTTATTATTTTGGTGGCATTTTGGAGGGTGTCCTAATTTGTATGTAGTTTTTAGGAAGATTTTTCTTTTGCTTGCAAAAATTAGAGTTTTTACTAATTTTTGCTTTCATCATTTCCTTTCTCTGCTTTGCTATTTTATCACGAACTATGGCAATCTAAATTGAAACTGAAGTTCATTAAACCTTAATTGACATTTCATCTCTTGCATACTTCCGGGAGTATACATGAATTCTACGTGTGGAAGTTTTAATCTTTCTCCCTCTCCCTGTAGATATTGTGCCACGGTGAGCATCATGATTATTCTTTCCTCCAAGTAATAATAAAGATTGAAGTTTCAGAGCTAGATATCTCTAGAGCCATCACTTTGTGTTACCCTTTTTGTTTGAAATTGTAGGGCGGTTATCGAGTTTAATTTAATTTAGTTGTAGTTTCCTAATACCTTATTCTTCAAGTGTATTGTCAGCTTTTGTTTTGAGCCTTCAATGATGGTCTAAGTGGATACTGGTTGGTTTATTACAGCATGAACTGACACTAGATTGTTAGAATTTGGCATAATTTGATTTATTTTGTTTTGCACGGTGACAGCTGTCAACTTTTCCACTATCACCCCAAACAACTTAGGTCTCCCCATTCCTGGCTTATGTTCTTCTTGTGGCAATTAAATTGGATGAATTTATTAAGTTATGTTGATTCTTTCATATAGTACGTGTAACATTTCTTTTTTGTTATTTATTTATTTTGTTTAATTGATATTTTTAAATTAGTAAATTACAAAAATATATTTTTCAAATCCTTTTTATTCTAAGAATTCAACACTCAAAAGGTCTTGCAGTTCTCTGAGGAGAGATGAAAAAAAAAAAAAAAAAGAATCAGTGCTTTTGATTTTTCTTTATCAGTTATAATGATAATATATTAAGCTTGCATGATGGATTCACCTTCCTAAACAAGATTTCCAGTGGACTCCTATGCAATAACTCTTGTATTAAGAATCACAATGGTTGGATTAGTCACTGTGTAGCTAGAAAAAAAATATATGAGCAATATGACAATATGTATTGGACTTGAATATGTTAACCCATTAGGAATTCTCCAAGCTTTATTTTAGTTCGTTAGATTGTCTTTTTCTTTCCCATATATTCAATAAAAATGAGTATTGATCATACAAATAGGCCTTGTCTGAGAGAGGGTTTTTTTGCCTTTTCCTTTTAGAAAAGGCGAAATTATTTTTTTGCTCGCTGTTTGTATGTGACGCTTCTATACTTTTTAGGGAACTTCATTTTTCTGCTGTTTTGAGAAGCTTTTTGATATTTGCTTCTCCGTTAGAAAATTCCATTCCCTTAACCAACGTTGCTAAAACTACCTTTTACAAAGGGTACCGGATAACCAAACAAAGCTCTAATGTCTAAACTTCTTAAAACGCAAATCTAAGACAAGTATACAACAAATTCGAGAACAAGGAAACACTTATATTTTCAAAGCAATCTATTTTGATATGAATAAAGCAGTGATCAGGTTATGATTATACTATATGGAGTAAAGTTGAATAGGAACATATTGCGGTGCTATATTATATCTTGAACTGGATAAATTT